AACAGGTGCCTTACTAGTAGTAACAGGTGCCTTACTAGTAGTAACAGGTGCCTTACTAGTAGTAACAGGTGCCTTACTAGTAGTAACAGGTGCCTTACTAGTAGTAACAGGTGCCTTACTAGTAGTAACAGGTGCCTTACTAGTAGTAACAGGTGCCTTACTAGTAGTAACAGGTGCCTTACTAGTAGTAACAAGTGCCTTACTAGTAGTAACAGGTGACGTACAACAGGTGCCTTAAGTCAGTGAGGTCTGGCCCTGGACCATCACCTCACATCACAATGGGGGTCCGAGTGGTCGGAATGCTCCGCTCTTTCAGGGGGGGAAAGAACGGGTGTCGGTCTCCCTGTTTGAGCTACACTTATGATGTACGCTAAAGCTAGTTCTGATGACACAGCAAAACATAAAAAATGCATAAACAATGCAAAAATAATGCAAAACCAATCCCGAAAAAAATGCACAGAAAACGCAAAAACAAGTCACCAAAGGATGCCTTGGAATGCAAAAACAAAGCAAACAAATGCGAAAAAAAAACGCATTTGTCCACTAAACCAATGCAAAAAAACGCACAAAAAATGAAAAAAATGCACAAAAAAGGCACAAAAAATGCAAACACAATGCACAACAAATGCAAAAAAATTGCAATCAAAAAGCAAAACGAATGCGATCAAAAACGTTCTGGTCTTTGCCTTTGCATTTTTTTGCTTTGTATTTGCGTTTTTTTTTGTGCAATTTTTTTGTATTTTTTGTGCGTTTCCTTGAGAAAACGCAAAAAAATCGCAAAAACAAACGGACAAAAAACACACAAAAAATGCAAAAAAAAGGCAAAACATCGCACAAACAATGCAAAAAAATGCAAAAAATCGCAAAAAAAAGGTGGTGTGTGAAATTTGGTTGTGCATGTGCATTTTTTTTGCTTTTTTGAACTGCTGTTCTGCTTTTTTTTTTGCTTTTTTTTGTGTTTTTTTTTTTTTTTTTGGCTTCCTTTTGCATTTTTTTTGCTTTTTGATATGCACTCTTTTTGACCAGCTGCTTTTTTTTGCTTTTTTTTATGCATTTCTTTTGCATTTCCTGGTCATCCTTTGTGAGTGTGGTTTTGCTTTTTTTTGCTTTTTTATGAATCCTTGAGATTTCAGAGTTAGGCTGTAAGGTACATCATAAAGCTACACACCTTTTGCTCAGGATCATCTCTTGCTCTCCTTCTTGAATTTATTGATACAGGTGTCTTCTTGCTCTCCTTCAGGTGTCTTCTCTCTCTTGTCCCGGTTTTGACCCACAGCCATATCAAGATATCCCCATTAGCTAGAAACCTTCCTTGCACGCCACACTGGGCACACACCCAACAAATAGAGAGTCCTGGCATTCGACCAACATCCGCCCTCCTCCGCGAGGTTGGAAAAGATGGTGGCGGACATGGACGTCCTCACCAACCTCCTACAGTCCATCGAGGCGCGCATGGCGCACACCGAAGCCACCACCGCCGAGCTGGCGCAGCTGTTGAAGCACCGAGCAGCCGAGTCCAGCGTGGACACCTCGGCACCGAGCCCCGGGCGAGCGACAAGCAGGGGCGGAAGTCATGTGGGTCCCGTCTTTTTTGGGGTGCTTCTTTTTGTGGTGGGTGGGGTGGGTGGGGTGGGTGGAGGGAGTACAGGTTTGATTTTTAAGGTGACCGTTCTTCTGGGCAAGTCGAGGATGGTGGTGGGTTCACCGCTGAGAGGTCTCGAAACTGACCCTGTTAGTGGTCAAAGGACAAGCATTGAGCAGTTTCACGATGTTGGAATATGTTGGATGATGCTCATCTTCAGTTGGGCTAAACATTCGTAGCGCTGAGAGGCCCTGTACTTGTCATCGGGCTCCACTTAGACGAATGCCCAAATAAGGGACGTTTTCGCTGTGTCTCTCCAAAATATAGCCGAGGAAATGAGCAATTGAGCAGCCTCGCTGAGTACCAAGTTCCTTGGCACACAGAGTAGGGATTTGGGGATGTCTGACATGAAGCAAGTAAAGTTGTATACCTTAGGAGGAGGAGCGGACAATCTTGAAATCATGTAATGGCAAGATTCCAATGATGGAGTTCTTGGCAATTGCCTCAGATATCATTGATTAGACATCTCCTTTCAGACCTTGCCCCCCTAAGAACAAAAGGATTCAATGCTGCCCTGGGTCAGAGAATGACGCTACCTTTTCACCGTGGGGGCAGGGTCTAGGGAGTTCTCATGGGGACATGAGTGTAACTTGAGGACTTAAGCGCTCGGAAAAAGAGTGCGATCAGAGACAGAAGAGGCGAGAGGAGAGACAGAAGACGCTGCGCTGGTCAGTCGCTTATAGATCGATAGGATCATGGAGAGAATGCATGGAAATGATAGAACATCATGTTTGCAAATTCATTCTCCAGGGTCCTGTTCATTCAAGTTTCAGTGACAAGAATGTAGTGCATGAGCTAACCAACGACTAGTGTGATGTTTTCCTTCCATGCAGCGCGGGCCCAAACATAGTTGCACAAAATAAAGAAAACAAAAACCACAGGATGTTGGAATGCAATTCCCACATGATGCACCACAGTTTATGTGCACTTCAAAGCTCAAATGCATTTACAAGGCCCGAGTTTCAGAGTAGATGGCATCATCTTCAAAATTCAAAAGGTTGTTTACATGGACCCCATATAAGAGACATTTTTGGAGTTTGTGTCATTGTGTCATTTACTCTGAAGCCATATAGTTTCTGCCTGCGATCCGCACTATATATTTGTAGCTTCACAGAAGCACACGGGCCATGCTTCAATGCCCCGTCACCAGGTGCGATTTGGCCAGGAATGTGGACAGAAAAGGGGCCATGCCTGTCCGAAAATGAAGGAAGCGATCAACCGATTCAATAGAAACTGGCAGAAATTGATAGAAATGGATAAGAGTAGTTGCAATAGTAACATAGTAATAGTAATGGCTAGGCTATATATATATATATATGCTAGAAACATCTAGAAACTATAATGTACCTTTAATATATATATAGCTATAAAAGCAGATTCTAGTGATTCTAGTGATGCAGACTGATTTTGTACAGGAAGCGGCTTGGCGTTGCTAGCAAGGCACGACACAGTGACCCATTATGTAACAATCCAGGTGTTTGTTTGTTTCTCGCGGTTGTTTCTGCTTTGAGTTTCTGAAGTTAGATCCAATAAAACATGGACAACTCGATCGCCTCGTACTGATGCAGGCCATGCTGACGCAACGTGCTCCTCATCCAGTTTTCGTCCGCGTGAATTTGTGCACTTAGACTCTCAGATTGATTAACAACTCAGCTTTAGTCGCAGAGAGCCTAGCCTCGCGGCTGCACATCAAACCTTGCCTTCAAAAACAACAGCTTAGTCAGCCGCAGGGGATGACTTGCCGAGTTCTTGGCACTAACCTTTGAGAGCTGATCGATCAATATTGAGAGATTCATTCGGGGCATGCCAGTCAATTGAAGCATTCAGTATTTGTTGGAAATTGAGTGAGTGCCAATGGATCAATCAGACATATCTCCGGTCCTTCACTTCGGTTTCCGAAACCGCTGGTGTGCTTTTTGGCGGGAACGTGACGCCTCCAAAGAAACTGCTCGGTCTTCCGAAACCACTGGTGTGCTTTTCTAAGTGACATGTCCTTTTTTTGTGACGTGCCTCCAAAGAAACGAAAGAAACTGCTCGGTCTTCCGAAACCGCTGGTGTGCTTTTCGAAGGAAAGTAACTGACATGTCCTTTGTCGTCGTGACGTGCCTCCAAAGAGCTCTTGACACGACGGGTTTAGTGCATTCACGCGCTTGCTAAAAGCCATTTGAAGACACCCTCAGATTACGTCCAGTTTACGAATGCCCACTTGAGCTGTGAGCAAGGTTTGCCCTTGTGAACATGATGACCGGGTATTTCTCTCAAACACGGCTTCCCTCCCTTCGGCGTATACTCACAAGTGCAGGCAAGAAACGGTCCGACTTGTTTCAGCCGCAACCAGTGGAAAGACACAATGAAATAGATTGACATTGCCTCCAGCTATTATAGATCTACACAGGCCTCGTGACGTCAGAGCATGCCTAGAGACTTGTTCATTTGGACTTTGCAAGAGGCAGCTGGATCGTCACCTTGCAATGTCGAGCTGGTATCCACATCCCGGGCTGCAGTCGCTTGGAAAGATAAAAAGGACACTTGCGGCATAGCCATGCGCAAGACCTCAACACGGAAGCGTCGCCTTTGACACATTTCTCTTGAAGAGAAAGTTGCCACTGTGTACTCCACTCATGCTCGATGTTGCTTCTGTGAGATGTTGCGCTGCCCACCCCTGACATTTGCATTGTTTGTGTTCCATGTGCCGCGTACTTTGCACGGCAAGAGGCCTTAACAGGTTCCCCACTTGCTGCAGTCGAAGTGGCGCCTAGTTGCAAGTTGCCGTCGCTTGGGTTTGCTGTTGGGGACACTTTGCCATTAACAGCCAGAGCCTCAATTGAGGGTCTAAAAAAGTCTGCAAGAAAGAATGTAGGTTGTATATATAATACTATATATATATAGGTTGTGGAAGGTGAACACCAATGCGACAGCTTGAGAAACCTTCGCAAAAGTGTCATGTGGTTGAAAAGGATCACTGCCAGTGAGAGATCGGCAAGCAGAGCAGGACCAACCTACAAAACGGGCAGAACACCTCACAAAACGGGCGGAAAGACCCGCCGACGGACAGACTCATAATTATTTCCTCCCTGTTTGATCTCGAGGGTTTTCTAGGTCTTCTAGGTTCTCGTTGTCAAGCCCAGTTTGGGTGGTCTTAGAGCGAGCAGCATGCTTCCAATGAATTCCGTTTGGGCGCATGCCAAGTGCCGTCACAACGAACCTGGCAGTGCCTGGCAGCATCTTGACATTGACACACGAGTCTCCAGTAGGCAGCAACCTAAAATCTCGTCCTGCACTGTCCTTGTTCGTGCATCAGTTGAAGTGTTTTCCACGCACTTCCAGCAGCTGTGTCCAAAACATGACACCAACCGAGTGAAATGGCCATGAGTCAAAACGTTTTGGTATGGAACATGTACTCTTGAACATCTCGTTCCATACCCCGTTCCATACCTGTCGAACAGCATGTCTGTTCGCCGTTCCATACCCATCGTTCCATACATGGATTCCGAGTTTACAATTGTTCGAGGTTCAATCAAAACGTGCGCTTTGCTTGCTGAAATACATTTCCCGTGAGAAACGGGACTGAGATGACACGTCAGGATTTTTGGTACAATTTGTTCCATACCCCCGTTCCATACCTGTTCCATACCTTATGGAACAAGGGATCCGTT